GTACAGCTTGCGCGTCGAACGACGCCCGACACATAAAAACGACGCACGTGTGAATCGGGCCTTTTTTTGTTCGACCGCTGGCAGGGCTATAACATTTTGCGATCTGACATGTTACTCAGTAATTTCAAAACATCTGAAACGTTTTGTCACGCTTTATCAGAAGCAAATTGTTATTGAGTAAATCGCGTGATACTTTCGTCCCTTCCCCACAAGTAAACAGAGGGACAGGTCCTGGAGACAGACCTGGCCCTAATGCATTTCAGTTTTACATTCACATGTTCTTGCTAGATCACTTCAGCCTAAATCTAAAAAAGACGTACCCATCCTATTCTGTCAGGTCCTAAAGACGAAACATGCAATATTTTTCCTAGGCATTAGATGCTAGCCCTCTCTCACAGCTAGAGTGTCTCTTGCCTAATTTTTTAACAGGGATTTTAGATCATTTCCACGGATGACGTCCTTCGATGTCAAATTCTGTGTACAGAATGCCGACATTTGGTACAACCTATGCGCACCCGTCTGACACAAATATCAGTGCGCTGTGCCTGATTACTACTGCTGAATGCCAACGGGCAAATAGTTCTAGATTTGAATAACATAAATCAGATATCCCATCTGTCATATTTATCAGCTGTCAACAACGCAATTTGGAACACCAGATTGCAGTAATGACCAACCTAACAAACAAATAAATAAACAAACAAACTCATACCATCCGTAAAGATTTGGGCAAAATACATGTAGTGAAGTGTGTGTATTTTGGATCGCAGCTTTTTTGTTAAATCGACCGAAATATTAAATTGACCCCGAAGTCAGCTCGCTCAGACATCGTCGCTTGCGAGCCAACTGATCTTATCTCGAGTCGCCCGAGCTTTGTCTGCCTCTAACCAGTTGAACTAACGCTGTCCACACCTCTTTAGCGACGTACAATGACTAATCTCCAAGCAGATCTTTCGGGGGTAAAATACAGTATCCAATTGGCCTTCTGTGGGAAATTGTTACAGAAAGGCCAATTGGATATAACCTGGATACCATCCTATTGGTATACCGGGGCTCCCTAACTAGTTGTTAGAGAAGCGAGTGTGGGAGCCCCGGCATACAAATAGGATGGTACCCAGGCTAAATTGGATACTGTCTTCCCCACCGAAAGATCTGCTTGGAGATTATACAACGAGTGCTGATATCAACAAGTCAAGTGTGGAATTGTGTTGTATTGGGAAAAAAGAAGGCGTTTTAGAGTGTTTAAAACCGTGAGTAAGGGTCGGGTCAAATAAGTCTTACGATCGTTGTACTATTGCGAACTGAGGACATTCTTGTGTGAGTCGCACAAGTGTCCTGCAACATTCAGCTGGCTTGTTGCGGAAAGGTACTCTCCGAGCAGAGGTTTGGGTTTTGGCGTGTTTTTAGGCTTTTTTATCTGGCTTTTGAACTGAACAGTGCAAAAAGAAAGCCCGATAAAAAGGCCTAAAACACGCCAAACCTCTGCTTGGAGGGTAACGGAAAAGGTTGCCTAATTAAGACCCTTGTCGGCGTTTGGTTCTGTCACAGTCTGCTTGTAAATTCCACTGTATAAAAATCGCACGACGACCTACGTCGATTGTGGCCGCACCGTACGTTTGTCGGGATCCTGTGGCACCTCTCTGACGGACAGACACGTCGTGTCGTTCTCAGATAGAATCAAGACGATTTGTCGACATCCTGATGCTCTAACCCGCCTGAGGGTGTGACTAACTGTAACTGGGTGTAGACAACATTCTGATCGCTCACAACAGTCTTTCTTTCTTTCTTTCTTTCTTACCGAGTTTTACACGTTGAAGCGCTTGTCAGACACCCAGGTTTAGCGTAAGCACGTCCTTAACTCGTACAGACCGCTAACGACAGAGGATTTGTATTATTTACTCCCAGAGCGTCTTTATGTGGATAATTTAAAGACTTAATCAGCCGTGACGCTTTTGTTAAGGACTGTACCTATCATTGTTACTCACGTCTTCTACACACGGGCTATCTGTCTGGTTCTACACAAAAACACGCTTCAACGGAAAATCCCACAAGAAGCGAGACTACATCTTTCAGCGGAGTAAATCTGTTTCCTAAACCCGCTTCTTTCCTTTTAAGGCCACAGCAAGTAATTTTTATGGATGACATCAGCGCGTGCACATTAATTTTTGCCTGACTTTTTTTTAAAAAAAACAAGAAATTTTGTTGCCTTCCGACAGTGGTCAACATGCCGAAAATGGAAAAAGATGTCTGTTGCCATGCCGGAAGGTGGAGCTGATTTAATGTTTTGTTTCTCACATTGATGTAGTGATGTGTGATGCTGGCTGTGTACATGTGATGTTCCTACAGAATCAAACCATTTGCACAATGATTGAGTGATTGAGTCAATTTTTTTGAAATTGTAGGAACCTTGTTTTTTCGCCCGCTCGATTTAGATTTGGAGTCTGCGGAGGATGTCAGCCATAAAATTTACATGCTGAGGCCTAAGTGTCTTTCGAACAGAAAGTTTGAAAAGTCGCGTTAACGAGCGATTCAGCAGCACCTCACATGATCCCGAGTGGGGATAACGACATCACTGCCACTTTGTCCACCCTTAAGACCCTTAAGTAAATAATTCGAGCCCTTAAGTAAGTAATAGCATCAGGCTACAGTGTGATCATTATCTCAACCTTTTTCACCCCCGGGCGCCATGTTCGTACTTACACAGACATGGTCTCTATCTGCGCTCAATCTTGTACGTGATTACGGGTACAAATGATAGAAAGTCTGGCAAAGAAATATCGTGTGTGGACGACATTTGTATACAAGTAGGATGGCATTCTGACAAATCCTTCTTTCAACCTTGTTTCAATACACTTTGTACAAGAAAAAGCATCCAAGGCCACTTCGGTATTAGAGACTTCAGTCATAGTAAACTCCAGTAGACGTATACAGTAAGGCTTCTAATGTACGAGTACGTGCTATTATTATGTGGGTCTCTCTAGAAATACTTTTATTTATGTTCTCGGGTTTGCTTAAGGGAAAAAAATCAGTGACACCCTTCTGAAAAGAATATTACATTGTAATATGTGTCACCTAGAATGTTAGTATTAATAGGCACGAGTCTCTCTCTCTCTCTCTTTGCCTCTTTACCTGCGAGTATTTGTGACCAAATTGTTACGAAAGAACGCAGATACAGACTAGAGGGTTTTGAGGTCTTTATACAGAAATGACCTCAGCTTAACCCCTTCATAATACAGACAATACCGTCTGTCTGACCACAAGGAGTGATGACGTACACCCTGCTATCCATGACGTAACTCGCGATTCTACTCAGTGTTCTCGATAAGGCCATGTTGATTTGATTATATGGATGACATCCTCTTGGAACTCCAAAACTGATGCGAGCGTGCGAATAAAAAAGTTTGGCAAAAAAAGTTGCTTTCATATGAAATCAACTCGCTTTCAGCCTCCTTTCGTATGAAACATACGTGGTCATAAAGGTTGCAATAATAACTAAATACACATTATGGTATGGCAAATAATACCAGACTCTTCATTTTCATTTCTTCACATTTTCTTCTTTTCCTGAATTTATGTTGGCATTCCTTTTTCTTCCAATACTTTTTTTTTTGCAACATACGACATATATTCGCTCATTTTATACGATTTACAGCATGGTCCAATTTTTTTTAACGGACGAAAATTCATGCGCGCGCGGATGTCATCCATATAAACAAATCAACACGGCCTTATAATGTTTGCCGGACATGCGTCTGTCCGTTGTACCTCTAATTGTGACGGACAGTCGGGATGGGCCTAATTGTGACCCCGTCACGCCAGGTCATACCAGGTCACGCCCCCCCCCCGGCAGGTTAGATTTTACATGTGATAAGAACTACTAACGAGCTGTGCACGGCAGGAGAGCACTTCTGTAGCCTATGGCAAGGCCTCAGAAGCGACTGGGAAAAGTAGCCTCTACCAGGCACCGCGGATCGCCAGCCGCCTCCCGAAGCCAACTGGTAGAGGCTATGAAAAAAAATTGAAATCGGCCAAATAGACCTCTGCCAAGTATCTAAAGAAACGGACGAAGTAATCCATGTAAACAAGTCAGTATGGCCCAACTTGTGATGACTTGAACTATTGGTAGTTCTACGAATGGGAATGGTTCTATCAGTTAGAGGTGTATGGCCAAAGGCTCTCAGGGAGGAGGCCCAAATCAGCCCCTGACAGCGAGGTATTGTGTATCACAGGTTAGCGACAACCTAGTCCATGTGAAAAATATGCCCAGAGGCAATATGCTATCATTGTGTTAGTGACATCCCACATATTGGTAACGCTATACCTACACTACTGCTGACCAAAATGATCTATAATAGGTTCCATCAAGTACCGGTGACTTTTGTCGTTCAACAAACCGGTCAGTGACAAGACAATTCGTCAGCAATGTCCTTATCGTCCCGCCTTAATGCGAACGATATGAAGGAATAACTTCGTTTGGCCGGTACGAATTTCCTTTCACTCAAATGTCTATGTCTCAAGTGTCTAGTATATGAGTCATGCATTCTTATGATATAACGTTACTTTCCAAGCAGCCTTATTTTTGACGTTTAGGCGTTTATGTCGGGTTTTCTTTTTAATACCCGTTAATATCTTTTTTTAATCCGCAGGCAGGTATTTGTTGGTATATTGGATACTGCCTGCCAATGGTACTATCTTGAATATTTGTTACTGTCTTTCAGCCAACAAAAGATCTGCTCGGAGATTATTTATGATACATATGTGTTCGTCTTGTTTACCACAGGTATCGGCCTTTCCGTCGACCCAGGCGGTGTGAGGTGTCATGGTGTGATCTCTTCGCTATTCCGCGACACAAAAACAAAACGCAGCCCGCCTTTGAAGACAGACGGACGAGACAGCGGCGTCCTCATCAACACTGACAAGTTGATGAGCAAACTCAGAAAAAATTCCGCAGACCTCTGGCAACCGACCAACCAATTGTGAATCCCCGCGATATTGTTGATATGTCCGCAATAATGGCGACTCGTCGGATTCTCGTACCGCTCCTGCTGGTCTTGCTGCTGCCTGACGGTGACAGAGTGACCACTGCGGAAGGGAAGGAGGTGACCATGCACGGTCGGCAGGAGGCTGACAGGTGCGTGTGCACGTTCGTGTCCCCGTACCTCCCGGCAGATTTCCCCCAGCCGCCGCCACAGCAGTCGCGCCGGCAGGACTGCACAGACAGCGTCCTGGACTCGGAGTTCATCAAACAGGAGCTGCACTTCATGAGGCGGCATCAGATCGCCAACCGCAAGCAGGTGGGTCTGACGTATCCAGAACCTGATTCATTCAGAACCGTGCTTTGTCCAGAACTGTGCTTTATCCAGAACCGTGCTTTATCCAGAACCGTGCTTTATTTCAGAACCGTACTTTATCCAGAACCTGATTCATCCAGAACCGTGCTTTGTCCAGAACTGTGCTTTATCCAGAGCCGTGCTTTATAGAGAACCGTGCCTATCTTGTTCTGTTGTATCCAGAACCGTGTCTATCTAGTTTTGTTCCTGAATAGATTAGGGTTAGGCACGGTTCTGGATAGGCTACGGATTCTACGCGTACCCAACGCGTACTATCTTGCCGTATGTCGCACTTGAGAAGACGCAGGTGCAATAGTCCAGTTTTTAACTACGGCACCCGTTTCTTCTTTGGCAAGTTACTGCTAGAAGGCAATGGGAGTCCTTGTGATATACTAACAAACAAATATGATACCTACTATCTCTATATCACCACTTTAAAGTTTTTGCTCTGTTTTGTTTGAATAAGGAGATATGACAGTAGATATGTTTTTTTGCGATTTTTAACCTGTTTTGCCACAACAATTAAGTTAATATCAGAATCTTTGTGTTTTTTTTTGCTTGTTTGTGTTTTGTTGATTTTGTCACTTTTCTTGAAAAAAAGGCGCTAAAGCACGGAGACCAGCTGCACAACTTGACCTCCAGAATCTACCAGTTCAAGGACGCCCTGACCGCCAACGACAGAGTTCAGAGGTCATGGGACATGCGCCTCCTGTCAGCCACCTCCGACACCCGGGAACTGCAGCGAGTCGTCAGCAGGCAGCGGGACACGATCGGTACGTCCCAGACCGATAGATAGATAGTGCTTTTGGAACCGTGGTTTTCTTCAGAGTATTAAATCCGATTGTTTAAAGTACATGTCATTCTCTGGAGGTGTGTCAAAGGTGGTTGGAAGTCTGTACCATCCCCCGCCTCTGGACCTGTTTGTGTATGTGTGTGTGTGTGTCTGTCTATTTGTTTGTTTGTCTGTCTGTTTTTCTCTGTATGAATATGTGTGCGCGCGCGCAGGTGTGTGTGTGTGTGTGTGTGTGTGTGTGTGTGCGCGCGCTTTTGCGTTTCAATGCGTTTCGGTAGGTGCGATAGACAGTCGAAATATCGTTTGATCCGGCAAACCGGTAAATGTAATCTAATCCGGTATTGCACCACTCAGTACATGTCATTCTCCGGAGGTGTGACGCGAGTGCCGGGTCATAGGTGATTGGAAGTCTATACCGCCCCCCGTCTCTGAACTTGTGTCTGTCTGTGTGTTTGTGTGTGTGTGTGTGTGTGTGTGTGTCTTTCTCTCTCTGTCTCTCTCTCTGTGTATTGTATGTCTCTCTGTGTGTGTGTGTGCGTGCCTGTGTGTATGCGTCCGTACGTTTCAATGGCGTTTTTTCTTTCATTTCGTCAGGTTTCCTGCGTCAGCGCGTGGACGCCATGTTTGATGAGATGCTGCAGATGTCATGTTCATCTGTGTGTGTGTGTGTGAGAGTGTGTCTGTGTGTGAGTGTGTGTGTGTGTGTGTGCATGTGTGTGAGTGTGTCTGTGTGTGAGTGTGTGTGTGTGTGTGTGTGTATGTGAGTGTGTGTGTGTGTGTGTGTGTGTGTGTGTGTGTGTGTGTGTGTGTGTGTATGAGTGTGTGTGTGTGTTTATGTGTGTGTGTG